AAATCATTTTACGTAACATGAGATGAATTTAAAGCTATATGTTTCTTTGTTCTGAGGACTGTACCACTCAGAGGTTTGTTACATAGTTTTTTTTATCCTTAAATTTTAAATATTTTCTTTCAGGACTCAAAAGTTTAACTATTTCAACTTCCTGGACCCACTAATTTTTTAGAATCTTTTTTCCCCTAGGTAAATGGCTCCCTCCCCCTTCCCGCCCTGCCTCCCCCTTCCCCTCCCTGTCCCCCCCTCCCTTTCCCACTGTGGCTAGTAAACGTGGTGGAATTTAGTGACATTTCCCCTGTGGCCTAGCACCTAGTCAAGTTGGGAGTGTTCTGTGTGTTTGGAACAACTCTTCTCCCTTTGGGTCAAAGTGTCTTTTATTGTGCTGTTCAGCTTTTCTTTATTGTAACTTATTCTTTGTCTTGCTCCACTGGTCTTTTATACTTTGTATCTGGCTACTGCTATGAACAGAGTTCCAGAAGAATGTCTTGCTTCCTGTCTCCCAGTTTAGCCAATCTGTTGCTCATAGGTTCTTAAACTTTTTAATTTTTTAATTCTTCATTTTAACAAGGTCTCCAGTTGATATGTATCCAGAGCTGCCTGTGACCCCACCTGTCTTCACGGCCCTGCAGCTTTCATCATTTCTGGGAAGATGGGTTGGAAAGTTGTGCTCTCCTTGCTCTGTCACTTCTCCTTCCTTGGGCCCTGGGTCTTCTGCTGGAGTTTGCCCTCTCGTTTTCATGGCGGTGCCCTTCTGATGACTGGTGATTCTTGACTGTGGTCTTTGCAGTACGTCTCCTTTGGGACATTTGTTGCTTGTCCTAGTGCAGCTGTGCAGGGTAGGGCTGGCAGCAGTTGTTGGATCTTGGCTCTGAGTGGTTTGGGGGGAGCTTGGGGGATGGGCAGGGCGGGCCTCTGGCTGCTGTATCTCCCTGTCTGCTCTTCAAATCTCGGGAATTTCTGCCTTCCCAGGTATATCCCCCCCCCCCGCCGCCTGAGCCTGCCAGGAGATAGCTGATAAACCCTGTGTTCGCTGCAGTTGGCCAAGTGCAGTGTGTTCTCCTAGGAGCTGGATTACGGAGTTGGCTGTGGCAGATCTCTTTTCTCTGGATCTCAGTTTCCTTTGCAAGAGAGCGCCTTTCGTTCTGGAAGTGGCCATCCCGGTTTGGAAATTGGACTCCTCTCTTTACTAGTTATAAGGTCTCAGGCCAGTCACTGATCCTTACAGACCTTGATTTCCTTTTGTGCCAAATCAGGGTGCTGGACAAGTTTTCAGGGCTGGTTTGAAAATTAGAGAATTTCAGTGCCTGCCCCCTCCTCAGTGTTCAGAAATGGTGGCGGCGGTGATTACGTTTTGTCTGTTTAACGTTGCATTGTC